GGGGGGGGGGGGGGGGGGGGGGGGGGGGGGGGGAAACGAGACTGAATGAGCTGTTCGTGAGCTGGAAGAGCTTGGGTGTGAGATTAGGCTTTTAGATTCTGATCTGGTGGGCATTTTAGTTCCAAGTCTAGGCGTTTCTCAAGTGACGACGAGCAACCTCGTCGACAACAAAAACTGTCAGAAAAGAAGGGAAAACGACACCAGGAATGAGGAAGGAAGGAGAGAAAGGACGAGGAAGAAGAAACAATAAAAATAATAATATTTCCATTACTCAACTAAGGGTTAAACGAGTTTGACCTATTAGCAACTTAATATATTTTCTGGAGTTACTAAAAGGTGGAAATGAGGTTAGATGCTATTTTCATTAAAACCTTCCGTCTACTCTATGTTGATCCAACTTTAAAAAAATATAATATAGAAAATAAAAGGTAAAAATACAATCTACAGTTGCTACATTACCTTATAATGCATTCCCTGCCTTGCTCGGTCGGCGACCTCAGATCATTTGCCCGCCATTGAGCTGCTCTTTCTATCTTCCATCTCTCTTCCGCCATTTCTACCTGTAAAATGCTGCGAAACCTTCAGACACGTCGTCGCGGTCCCTATGGCGCCTACTTTTGCGCCTTCGCTGCCGCTTTGCTGCTTCTATTTTCAGTCTCCCTCCTTTACACTCGCCTCTCTCGCTCTCAGTCACACACTTACTCTCGTCCCATGTTTCCTAAATCCCTAGGCAACATTCTGGTCTCTGATTCTGATGACGACAGCGATGTTATTTTGGGCACTACTGCCACCGATGAGGACAAGATCGATGAGCTCGATATTGTGGACGAGGACGTCCAATCTAGGGCATCCGCCGATGAGGAATTGGGAGAGGATGAAGATCAGTCTGATCAGGTCAGGGTTTCTGGATTTTATTTTGACCACGTTAGTGGAGCCATTAGGAAGGTTTTTGATAACAAACGTTCGATCCAAGATTGGTCTGACGAGAATTCTGGTTTTCCTGTCGGATTAGGTGAAGAGGATCGCAGTAAAGCTGCGTTTAGCTCGGATGATGTGCCGGTTGACGAAGAGGTAAGGAGGAAATCAAGGGAAATGACTGGGATCGAGGACGCGCTTTTGTTGAAGGTGGGTGGAAGAGTTTCGCCCTTAAGAGATGGGTGGGGAGACTGGTTCGATAAGAAGGGCGACTTTTTGCGGAGGGATAGGATGTTTAAGTCCAACTGGGAAGTTCTGAATCCGCTGAATAATCCCATTTTGCAAGATCCGGATGGTCTGGGTGTGGCCGCGCTAACGAGAGGTGATCGAATCGTGCAGAAATGGTGGATGAACGAGTTTAAAAAAGTTCCGTTTCTTGTTTACAAGCCGTCAGGTGTTACACGGAAGGTCTTTAATACGGAAGTAGAAAATGGCAATGTGGACGCAAGCATCAATAAGAGCGGGAGCCTAAGTGGTCACACTGATATAAACGTAATGGACAATGGTAAGGAAGCTTTAAACGAGATTAGGACTTCAGATGAACACTCCGGTAATAACCTTTGGATGAAGAAAGTTATCAATTTTGATGAAGGTTCGAGTTCACATTTCAATGGCTATAGGACTTCGATATCTAGGAGTACTAAGAAGGAGAAGAGTCGGGATACAAGCGCAGAGAACGCTGATGTAGCAGATAAAGTGATTCTTACAAAGGGTGCAGGATCTAAACCGAGGGTTATGCCTCATATTTTGACTAGTATATATGCAGATGGCAGGCGATGGGGTTATTATCCTGGTTTACATCCGCATCTATCTTTTTCTCGTTTTATGGATGCATTCTTCAAGAAAACTAAATGTGATGTGAGAGTTTTTATGGTTTGGAACTCACCTCCTTGGATGTTCGGTGTTCGGCACCAACGTGGGCTAGAGAGCGTGTTCTCGCATCATCAAAATGCATGTGTTGTTATTTTCTCGGAGACAATTGAGCTTGATTTCTTCAAAGATAATTTTGTGAAAAATGGGTACTTATCCTAATGAAATTCTTGCTAATTCACAGATTTTATTTTGTGATTGAGTAACTACAATTTTTGTTTAACAGTTACAAAGTTGCGGTTGCTATGCCAAATCTTGATGAATTATTGAAGGATACACCAACCCATAAATTTGCTTCCATCTGGTTTGAATGGAAAAAAACAAAGTTCTATTCTATTCACTACAGCGAGCTTGTTCGTTTGGCTGTTTTATACAAGTAAGCCTTCTCTCTCTATCCCTAAATTTCCATTTTTTCTATTGAGATATTTATGAATACAACCACTCTTGGTACAACATGGTTTTTGATTCGTCTGTTAATTAAGTCAGCAGTCCTTCTGTTTCTTGCCAAATGACATGGGGCAAGAAAAACGTCAGGCATGTCCTTACAAGACGATCTTTCATTTTGAAGGCTGGACAAGAGTCAATTACTTAATATCACAGTATTTATCATCTCTGAAAGGCTAAGTATATGTTTTAGTCCCTAATGTACATTAGGGACTGAATTGAATTCTTTTAAATATGAGGGATTAAATTGAATAAGAATATCCAAACATTAGGGGTTATAAAAAATTCAAAGGTCCTAAATGATTTTCTTTTATAGATTCTTTCTGATTCTAGGCTTTCGCAAATATCTTAAAAAGTGATTTTACGTTAGGATAAGATAAGCAAAAAGAGTTAGGCAAGGAGATGCTCTATCCACATTCTTTGTTTACAGGTTTCTTTATGTCAAGCCTTCGATCGATGTTATCAGGTCATAATTGTAGGTGCTCTTCTACTTGTAACACCCAATAAGAAAAGGTGAACTCACTATCATCCAATCTCCTATTGTGAGAATTGACATGTTTATGAGGGTTTTGTGTGTGCGTGCACGTGCGCATTGAAGAGAATGCAGTACCTGGGCTTAGTGCCTGTCGAAGGTTGGATTATATTATTTGGAAGAAAATTTTTCCGGAAAAGAGGGCTAAGGACTACCTAGTAAATTTTAGTGAACATTTAAATGTAATCGTCTTTATTGTGGCAAAGGCTTGTCTGAATTGAGTCCCGACTTTTGATATCGTATTTATTTTCTGACTGATTATCTAGATTACAAATTTGTGTCGTTATCCAGGTATGGTGGAATTTATCTTGATTCTGATATTGTAGTCTTGAAACCTCTATCCTCGCTTCAAAATTCTGTTGGGATGGAGGATCAGCTTGCTGGAAGTTCTTTGAATGGGGCAATAATGGTATTTAGAAGGCACAGGTATGTGGCAGTTTAAAAGGCATCAGTTCTCTGGAAATTCATTTTGTGCTCACGAGTCGTCTATGTTATTATAACAGAATTAATTTTTCTTTTCTGAAAACATAATGGTTGATAACATCCTCACTAATCTACTGTGAATGAACACCTCCTCCAACATACAAAGAAGCTTGCATGACACAACAATATGCCCTCTCCCCTAAAGGAAGGATGCAAAAACACCTCCTCCAACATACAAAAAATGAAAAGATTGAGGGATCGGATCAAGTGTTTGGCACAGGACAAAATTGAAATTGATTTTCCTTAAAGAATTAATGTCTTCTAAGCTTACGGACTTTTGTGGGTTAAGAGATTGCTCCCACCATGTCTTCTAAGCTTTAAATGTTTTCACTCTTTATGCACCCCATTTATAGAAATTCATGTCATCTACGCTTATGAGCTATTAAGGTTTTAAAGCTTACTTCCACTATGTATATATATATATATACACATACGGAGGCCTTGATTAGTTTAGATTTTTTTTTAGTTATATCTTTGTCTCTTTTCTGCAGCCCCTTTATAATGGAGTGTTTGAAAGAATACTATTCGACTTATGATGATAGAAGTTTTAGATGGAATGGGGCCGAGCTCTTGACCAGAGTTGCAAAGAGGTTTTCCAAAGAAGTGCCTATAGAACAGTTTGAGCTTAATGTGCAGCCATCTTTTGTGTTCTTTCCCATTGCCTCACAGAATATCACTAGGTAATTTCTGATTTATTTTCTCGTTCATCTTATGCCTTATATATGTGTGTGTATTTGTTTTCATATGTATGTTTGTATGTATTTTATTATCATTCCTTTTCCAAAATAACCGCTCTACATTCCCCTCCACTTCCTAATAAGGCTCTCTAACTAACTGCTGACCCCTAGTTGTCCTTTTGACACTACTTGCATACCTATTTACAATTATAGTTTTTTTTTACCCTTCCTCACGTACGCATTTACAGTTGGAGGCTTAACAAAGTCTTCTCACTTGAGGGAATTAGAAAGCAGAACAGTCACAAAACAATCTGCACAAAGAGAGGCTACAAAGATAACAGATTCCAATATGACAGTCTAGAAATTCTCCTTCTCAAGGAAAATTCTCAGTTTCCAATCTAATGTCCTAAAAGATAGCCCGCAGCATTGAGCTCTGGAAGATGGAATTATGGAAACGGCTGTCTGATAAAAAAATGACTTCCACGTAGTTTCAGAGAGCACTTCTTTGGTTGAAAATTCCCCCTTCCCGTTTATATGAGTTCTCTCCTGCAGCTAATAAACATGTGGGGCCTGTCTATTCCCTGTCTTAAGCCTCGAAAAGAACCATCCTCTACTACAGACTTCATATGTCTGTTGGTTCTGTATATGTGGGTAGCCTTTAAAGAACTATGGTACAATTAAACTTCCATGTCACTGATCTCTGTACAAAGTCTTGTCTCCGCTTAATCAATCAATGATCAATGAAAAAAGAAAATGAAATTAGGTTCAAATAAGCAAATCTGTCACGGTAAAAGAAGGTTTGGGAGCACAAGATTTTGAGTGTTATGTATCTACCATTTCACCACCATGCCAAGACATTTTAATTATATCCCTGGTCGATGAATCTATTCTAGTTTCAACAAATTCTTAGAATTTTAGGTGGGATGGGCGTTGTAATTCTTTCTACTTTTCTGAGTATAATGATTGATTGTGAAGTGGGTTGGTGTTCTTCCTAATCTCCATCTCCTATGCGTCTCACCATGAAAACACGACAAAAAAAAAAAAAAAAAAAAAAAAAA